GTAAGTGACAGAAGGTCAGAGCGCTGGCAGAAGTGGGGTGGTGCTGTGTAGCTATTTCCTCCAAACTATAACACTCCCTCCTGATGGAACTGGAGGACTAAGGAAACTTACAAGAACTTTTCAGGAAGCTCAGCAGGTACTAGAGTCACAAGGTCCCTCTCCAAGGAGGAAATACTCTGCAGCTCCAGGTATATGACTTCCAACACTTAAAACTAGAGGGATAGAAGGACAAGAAAAGCAAATCGAAATTCTCTCAGATAGAAGAAAAAAATCAAAAAAGATCTTTAAAATTATGAAGCAAAGTATAGTGGCGTGTGTCTATAGCCCCGGCTACTCATGAGGCTGAGGCAGGTGGAACACTTAAGCCAGAGTTTGTAACCGATCTAAGAAACACAGCAAGAACTCATCCCCAAACAAAAAATATCTAGGGCTGGTGAGATGGCTCAGCAGGTAAAGGCACCTGCTGCCAAGCCTGCCACCCTGAGTGCAAACCTAGACCCCATACGATAGGGGAAGAACTGACGGCCTTAGGTTGTCCTCTGACCTCCACACATGTGCTGTACTATGCACCCACAAAGGCACCCGCACACATATACACTAAATTAATCAACAAAAAGATGCGAAAAATAAGGTAAAACATTAAAAACTAGATGTATGTTATTTTATGAATAGAAAATTAAGATATTAAGGCAAAGAAAAAGGATAGGAAAAGATATCTCAAGAAATTACAAAAAAGGAACCAAAGTATCAATATTAACACACTAGATAAAATGGACCTCAGAGGAAACATTCAAAAAGAAAATTTGTTAGAGTGGACTAAAGACTAAAGCAGAAAGGCAAAATTTTTAAAGTATACAGAAAGGATTAAGCAGTATATAAAAAGGAAAAGAGTTCATATTCAATTACATTACAATTAAGAACTTCTGTTTCACAGAAGAGTTGTGACATATATAGATACACACACAATTAAATGGTTACTAGCTTATAACCCTCAATGGTTAGGACACTACTGGGACATTATTAAAGGCTTCAAAGCATCTCTCTCCCTACTTCCTCCCCATTCCTCCTCCCCTTCCTACTACTCCCTTTCCCCAGGCCTCTTTTGATCTGTTCTCTTCCCGAGACATGCCATAGGTACTAGACAAGTCATAAGAACCTGAATCTCCCTTGGCCTTGGTACTGCTGGCCTATAAAGAGATTCTTTATCCAATCTGATACACTATCAATACCCTCCCCCCATTGCAGATCATATTCTAAGAATACTGTACAGAGGCCAAGACTGACTATACCATCACTGCTGGGTTTCCCCACTCAGCCTATAAGCAATCATCCTTTTAAAAAAAGATTTATTTATTTTATATGTATAAGTGTTTTGTTTGCATGTATGTCTGTGTGCTACATGCATGTTTGGTGTCTTAAGGATGTAAGAAATCTAAAGAACTGCTGGTAGAAGCGTAAGTTATGATAAACACCTTAAGTGTTTTTTATAAACAATTAAGCTAAAGTTGTACACATGCAATGACCCAGCAATTCACCAGCAGGTATATCCTAGAACAACTCTTAACCATGACAGCAATGCCAAGGCTAGAACTATGGTGGGGAAAGTGAGGGCTTTTATTTTTGTTTTGGTATGTTTTGTCCTGCTGTAGTTCTACTTTTTGTCTTGATGTACCTAGGCTCACATGTGCTATGTAAGTACTACACCAGGATGTTACACCTCTAGCTCCTCTCTTACTAAACAACAGTATCCATTTACAGATCTATGTATGTTTTCCGAACATGAAGACCACCATGTGGGTTATAGGAACCCAACCTGGATCCTCTAGAAGGGGATCCTCAAGCAAGTGCTCTTAACCACTGAGCCAACTCTCTAGCCTCTAGCCCATAGATCACTTTTTAAGTGAACAAATAATCCTTGCACTTGGGAAGTAGAGACAGGAATTTCCCTGTGAGTTTGAGGCCAGCCTGGTCTACATTATCTCACTCAAAGCCAACCAAAGCTACCTAATGAGACCCCCATCTCAAAACAATAATGACAAACAACCCCACCCCTGAAATTCTAGTTTCCATGCACTGAAAATACAAATTTACTACAAAAAACCAAAACTTCTAGTAGTGAATTTAACAATGAAAATAAGTAACTGAAGGGCCAAGTATTAAAGTCATTTCAAAACTAAAGCCATGCCGGGCAATGGTGGCCCACGCCTTTGAACCCAGCACTTGGAAGACTGATCTCTGAGAGTTTGAGACCAGCCTGGTCTACAAGAGCCAGTTCCAGGACAGACTCCAAAGCCACAGACAATCCCTGCCTCAAAACTTCCCCCCCGAAAAAAACAAAAACCTAAAGTCATTCTTTCTTAATATAATTATACTCGAACATACTGAACAATTTCTGCCTCCAAACAAATTAAATTCAAGGTCTGTTGCACACTTATCTTCTATAGCAGTAAGATACACACTAAGTACAGTGGCACACATCTCTGATCCCAGCACTACACATGGGAGGAAGAGACAGGAGGATCTCAGTTAGTTAAAGTCTAGCCCAGGATATACAAGGCTACATATTAATACCCTACCTCAAAAAAAAAAAAAGTAAAAAGGCATAGTACAGTGATATTGTGGAATTATATTACTCTTCATATCTAATATTTAAGATTGTGTACATTATGCATTTCTCCTATGGTTATAACAGGCCTCCAGACCTTAGTAGGCCAAGACCTTAGCACAGCTCATTCCATGTGGAAGTATCATTCAAGCCATAAAACTCAGCACACAGAAAGCACCACCTGCCAAAAAAAAAAAAAAAAAAAAAAAAAAAGGCCTAATCTATCAAAGTTCATAGTTCTGGGAATGTCTCTAAATGTGCTAACCTTCCCTTTTGGCTTCTGTAGTTCTACTTCCATCTAACTGTTCTTATTCACTGAATTATGTTAAATCAGAGTATGGTTTTTATGCTTAAAAGTTCACCCTAAGAAAGGCTTGGTGCTACACTGGGATCCTGAACACCTAGTATAGTCTCCAGCCAGCCAGCCAATACTTTCTATTGTCTTAAATTAATGTCCGAGCCAATATCTTAAACCCAGTAACATTAATCATACTAACTTTAATTTTAATTTATGCGTTAAGCTTCCTTCTCTGTATTGAGTTTTCTGATTATAGACTGCTGCAATTACTCTGCAAATAAAAAGGCAAATAACAGAGGGCCCTACCTAAGACAACACTACATTATAAAACCGAGACAGCTAATTTAGTACATTTCCCATGGTGTTTTCCAAATATAATAATAATAAAAAAAACTAAAACCATTCCATTAGTGCAGGGCAGGGTTTGAAAGGCAGCAATAAAGTAAGGGACACGGTTTCACATTTGAAATTTCTCAGAAATCTGATCCAACTATAAACATATTCCTTAAAAAAAACCTAAAAATAGACTATGGGCAGTAGTGATGTACACCTTTAATCCCAGCACTCAGATAGATCTCAGTGAGTTCTGGGACAGCTAGGATTATTACACAGAGGAACCCTGTCTTAAAAAAATCAAGAACAACCACCACCAAAAAACCCTAAAACTAAAAACAGAATAATCAGGCCTTGCCCAGTGGCAAGAACATGGTGCTGAGACAAGAGAACGGCAATTTGATGCTAGTCTGGGATATGTGAGAAGACCCTAGCTCACCACAACAAAATATCCCTATGACCCAGCGATCCTCCCACTGAGTACATACCTCAAGAAAATACAGCCATCGTGTCAAAGAGATACTGTGCATCTACTGCAGCACTGCTCACAGTATTAAAGTAGAGAATCAACAGAGGAGCCCAACAAGAGATTCACAAACAAACGGGTAAATAAATTGTGGTATGCATGTATCATTTAGTTATGAAAACGAGTGCAGTCTAATCTGCAGCAGTGTGAGAAAAATTATACTAAGTAAAATATACCAAGAAGAGAAAGCCAAGGCACCTTCTTGCTCCTCTGTAGAAGCTAAAAAAGGTTTTTTTTTTTTTTTTAATGGGAAAATAGAGTAGAACAAGAGGTTGAGAAAGTAGGAAAACAAGTTAGGAAACGGAGAACTTGGAGTGGAGAAAGGTTCAATAATAGGAATCAAATACCAATAGACAGGAGGAGCAAATGCTGATGTTCTGCAGCACAGTAGGACGGCCACTGTTCACAATTTATATCCTATAAAGCACTAGGGGGAAAGGAGTTTAAAGGCTCCAAACCCGCAAAGAATAAATGCTAAAATAGAAGTGCTAATTACACTGATTTGACCATTATACACAGTTCGAGTGTGCTGAATTATCACACTGTACCTCATAAACGTACAATTATTATACATTAACTAAAAAATTCAGGTGGGAGTGATGACGCACTCCTATAATCCCTGCACTAGAGAGATTAAGGTTGAGGATTGAGGCAAATCCGAAACCAGCCTGGACTACATGGCAAATACTATGTATATACAAAACAGTCACCAACAAGTAAGGTCGGGAGATGTACAGTGATGCAAAAAGCCGACTAAACGGTCAGCCTGAATTCACGTAGGCTGTTTTGTGGAGTTAACTAACACAGAATTACATTTCCAAAACATAACCACAAGAGAAAACATGGACGGGTCGCAGTGAGAGAGGGCAGGAGCGATGAGAGCTTCCAGGCTTCGTCCTATCCAATTTCTAATCCATGGGTTATCAAAAGCTGTCTAGCAAAGATGCAGTACGCCCCCGACCAAAAACAAAAAACTAGAGAGTAGGAAAAACAGCATGTCCAGTGTAAAACGCGCTCTTCTGCCCAAGCGGAGAGGCAGTCCCAATACAGATCGAGCGCAGCAGGCTCGCATTCGCCCAGCCTGGCGGGGAGCGCGACCTGGCTGCGTCGTTTCCCTACGGCGGCAGCGAGGGGCTCGATGTACGCACTTGCGGGCCTCGGCGCCCCGCCCGGCCTCACCGCCCTGCAGGGCCCCGCCCTGTGGATGCCAAGATACTTCAGAGAACCTCAGCGCTTACCATCCTAAGCTTCTCCTCAGCCATCTTGCTCCGCCCACCGCTGCGCGACCGGAAGCCAACCGTTTCCCAGACGCCCAGCAGAACCGGAAGTTGTAGGCCGAGGAAGGAAGGAGGAAAAACCTGAGCCAGGAAGGAAGTAGGTTGCTGAGTGGAAGCTAGGTAGGGTGAGTTGTAAACTCTTGGAGTCTCCACGGAGTGGAGGCCGGCACAGATGGCATAACTCGGAAGGAAAAGGTGAGAGAACGCGCAGCCACTGGTCAGACATAATCGCTGCACCGGACTGGACGACTTTAGAGTGTAGCATGTTAGATATCAGAAAAAGAAGCCAAGCTTATAAAGAAACAGTTCACTCAATAAATACAATTAGCCCCTGAACATACAAAAATAAAGCTGCCAGGAAGAGAAATAATGCAAGAGATTTGATGTACCTCTTAACGTTGACAACAAAATTTTACACTGACATATTTATGAGGAAAACATGCTTTCTTCACCACCAGTAGAAATGAATTGGTCAAACTTCCAGTGAGAGCAGCTTAGCAACAATTACCAAAATTAGAAATACACATAACCCTTAACCCAGTTGTTTCAGTTATAGGACTTTATTCTATATGTATAGACATGACTTTACATACAAAGATATCCAATGTGTCATTGTTTGGAATCAACCAAAGCCTGAAAAACAACCCAAAACTCCCAAGCAGAAATTAAATAAATTATAATAAGTTCATATTACGTGGCATATGAAAAGAGGCAATTATTTACATGATAAGAATTGCCAAGGCACACTAACAGATAATGACAATGTGCAAAAGTGCATATAGTATTTCTGTTACTAAGGAGAAAGCAAAAATAAAGACTTGTGCACACAGTTCTTTATTAGAAAATATTTCTGGAAGGATATTCAGATATTAAAAAATAACTACCTCTAAGGAGGAGAACTGGGTAGAGGGATGCAAAGAACAGAGGTAGACTTTTTACAACTTTAATTTTACACTATATGGACATATCCGTGCCAGTAATGAAGATAAAATAATGAAACGTACCACATAGCATTCAGGTTGTGATAACTACTAAGGAGAAATGTAGAACAGTAGGAGAAAATAATTAGGAGTATCAACCTAAACTAGCAAGGCAAGCTTTTTCTAGGTCAGAGATTTTAAATAACATCTAAAGAACAAGGTATTATTAGTTGGAGGAAACAGGCTTCAGAAATGTGCAGCCCAGGGAAGAATTCTAAGGCAGAGGAAGAAATTGTGTCAACATCCTGAGGACGGAAAAAGCTTGGCTAGTTTGCAGCACAAAGAGGACAGTATGGCTGGAAAATAAGAAAAAAGAGAAAATGTTGGTTCCTATGGTTGAGGAGGTTGTACAGTCCAATGGTGTAGACCCACCAAGGCCATATGAGGGGGCCTGTTAAAAAGTACGGTGGGAAGGCACTAGAGAGTTTTGAGCAAGGAAGGCCTTGATCAGAATGAACAGTTAGAGAGTTCTTTTTAACTATTGAGTGGAGAATGAAATCAGAATGACAAGAATTAGCAAGGTGCAATGGCAAGCATTTAATCCCAGCTCTTTGGGAGGTAGAGGCAAGTGGATCTTTGTGAGTTGAGACCAGACTAGTCTACAATAGAGAGTTCCAGAATAGCCAGGGCTAAAGAGTGAGACCCTATATTTTTTTTAATGTCAAGAATTGATAATTTAAGAGAGATTAGATTGTCTGGACAAAAGAGATGGCACACACACTCACACACACACACACACACACACACACACAAAGAGCAGGTGGGGGTGGTGGCACGCACTTGTAACCCTAGCACTTGAGAGGCTGCAGAAAGACCAGAAATTCATGAACAACTTTAATAACATAGTGAGTTCCAGGTCAGCCTGTCTGGCTACATAAAACAGTCGCAAAAAAAAAAAAAAAGATAAGTGAATAAATAAAAAGGAGGCCTGGCAATCATAGCACTTAGAAGGACTTTCATGAATTTCAGATTATTGTGGACTATATGTGAGTTCCAGGCTAGGCTCAGCTATATGGTAAGACTTTGTCTCCAGAACAATTAGGCCGGGCCGGATGTTGGTGGCACACGCCTTTAACCCCAGCATTCAGGAGGCAGAGACAGGTGGATCTCTGTGAGTTCGAGGCCAGCCTGGTCTACAGAGTGAATTCCAGGACAGCCTCCAAAACAATACAGAGAAACTCTGTCTCAAAACAACAACAAAAAACAAAAAATCCAATAAAAACAATTAGGCCGGTCACAGTGGCATATGCCAGTAATCCCAGCATTTAGGAGGAAGACCAAAGGATCACCCAAGATAGGGCAGTCTAGTCTATATAAAAGAACCTTAAAGAAATGTAGGAAGTAGCTAGAGTAAATCTATGATCATAGAAATTAATCTTGATGAATGAGGGAAAGATATTCATGTCAAAGGAATACTGCCAGATTTCTAACCGCAAAAACAAATTAGGAGCAGCCATGGTTATACAAAGAAATCCTGGCTCCAAAAACAAAAACAAATTAGGTGAATTGAGCCGGGCGGTGGTGGCGCACGCCTGTAATCCCAGCACTCGGGAGACAGAGGCAGCTGGATCTCTGTGAGTTCGAGGCTGGGCTGGACCGACAGCCTCGAAAACAATACAGAGAAACTCTGTCTCGTAAAAACCAAAAAAAAAAAAAAAAAAATTAGGTGAATTGTTCAGCCAGTTACTAAGAAGCACCACCTTAAGAATGATGTTAGTAAAAAGTTAATGACCTTATTTCCCTCCTTGGATGGGGCCTTGTAAGGATAAATGATATTTTTTAACATGTAGAAGCCTTTATTATATGTTTTAAACATACATTTATTTATCATGAGTAGGGGTGTATATACTATGGCACATATGTAGAGGTCAGAGGACAATTCATAGAAGTTAGTTCTCTCCTTCTACTATCAGTCCTGAGGATGGAATTCAGGTCACTGGGCTTAGCAACAAGCATTGTTACCCATTACCCATGTTATACAAACCTTTGACTCCAAACCTTAGGAGGAAGGTAGAACATTTCTTTTTTTTATTGCAAGGGATACCATTTTCATAAAAAGGGCATTAGTTTCTCAAACTGCATTCATCAAACTTAGTGTGTTTCAATTAGGTTATTAGAATGTCCTCAAAAAAATCCTAGAAATTCCTTAGAGCATGTTTTGTGTGTCATAGACACACCTTTATTTCTCTTAGCAAACTCTCAGTAATGTGGCCCTGCTTATCACTGTTCAAATTATGTAGTTGATTTGTTTTTTATGGTGGCAGGAGAGGAATTAAGCATAACTTTCTGGGGCTGGAGAGAGAACTCAGCAGTTAAGAGCACTGACTAATCTACCAGAGGACCTGGGTTCAATTGCTAGCATCCACAGGGTAGCTCAGTCTCTTTGTAATTCCAGTTCCAAGGGACCCAACACCCTCACCCAGGTTTTAAATTTTATATACATTTAAAGAGAAAGAAAATTAAAAGGCAAAACTTCCATCTCTTCATGATTAGTTTGAAGAAGCTGCAGCTACATTTCTCCATTTTTAGTATTTTAATTTCTGGACTTAAAGGTCCCCAGCCAACTTTGTTCTGATGCCACCTGCTGGGCAATTGGGAATCTCAGGCCTCTTTAGACATATTCAGTCCTCTCAGGAACCACACTCCGATTAACTCCAAGAATACATTCAACATTGTAGGAAAATGACACTGAAAACAACACACTAAGTGTACATATTTTTCAAAATCCTTCATGAAACATTTCTTATTCATGATGGCACAAACAACAGTAATTGGTGGAGAACGTGGGGAAATCATAAACAGTACTTTGTGAGAAAAAAAAATACTAGACACATTTAAATGTCCAAGGACAGTTTAAATACATCAAGACAAAATGCTATTGTAAGATGTATTATGCAGCCTGTAAAAATTCTTGAAGATGTAAAAGAAAAATGTAGATTCATATTATATGGGGGAAAAGTAAAGATGTGTGTGTTGTGCGGATTCTAGTCTTTGTGAAGCTGAAACATCAGAAAAGCAAAGCAGCCAGCCACTAGCTCTTACCTCTATCTCAGATCGAATGGGCAATCCTGTCTCCATGAGTCCTCAGACTGAATGAATCCTCAGGCTGCCTGCCTAGACTGCAATGCTCCTCAGACTGCAATGAGCTCCTGTCCCCTCCCACTTTATATTCCTCTCTGCCCAGCCATATCCCTGGGACTAAAGGCATGTTACTACAATTTCAGGGATCACCTTTGTGTGAGCTGTTTCTCTTTTAAACCAGTATCAATTTAATATAGCCCAGTGTGGCCTTGAACTAACAGATCCATCTGCCTCTGTCTCCTGAGTACTGGAATTAAAGGTGTGTGCCGCCATTGCTTGGCCTCTATGGCTAACTAGTGTGACTACTTTTGCACTCTGATCTTAAGGCAAATTTTATGTTAGATCATAAACAAAATGTTACCACAGGTATGCTTCCATTTGTGGATTTAAAAAAAAAATGACTGGGCCGCCTAGAGAGGTGGTTCATTAGTTAAGAGAGCTTATGGCTCTTACAGAGGACTGGAATTCAGTTCCAAGCACCCACATCAGACAATTCGACTGCCTGTAACTCCAGTTACATGGGATCTGACCCCCTCCCCCACCTTCTAGCTTCTGTGGTCCTTCATATACAAACACATAAAATAAAAACAATAAATCCTTTAAATATAAAAAGATCCTGAAGACATGTTGGTGGTTAAGAGCACTCATTTCTGTTTTGTTTTTGGTTTGTCAAGATAGGATTTCATTGGTAGCCTTGGCTGTCCTGAGACTCCATCTGTAGACCAGACTCACCTCAAAGAAATCATACAGATCCACCTGCTTCTGCCTCCCAAGTGTTGGGATTAAAGTCATGCGCCACTACTGTCTGACCCAGAACACTTGTTTTTGCAGAGGACCCAAGGTTGGTTCCTACTACCCACGTAGTGGCTCAAAAATTCCAGTTCCAGGTGATCCTCTTCTGCCCACCACAAGCACCAGGAACGTATGTAGGGGCAAGTAAAACACTCATAACACAAAATATATAAATCTCAAAACAATTTTAGGTCCGGAGAGTTAGCTCAGTAGTTAAGAGTACTTGTTCTTGCAAAGGCCCCAAATTCATTTCCCAGAACCCATATGGAGGCTCACCACTTCCTTGGGCATCAGACATGCATGTAGTGCACCGACATACATGCAAGCAAAGTACTCACAACACACAAAATAATTACCAAAAAAAAAAAAAAAGAAACTTTTAAGAAAGAAGTGAGTGGTGGTGGCACATGC